ACACTTACCTGTCAATAAAACAACTGAAAATATTTTATTCTGGCCAGAGTTTACATTCTATGGTACTGCTGTGTCTCCAGAAATCATCACTCATTGATATGCAATATAAGTGTTTTTCAGGTTTTGCTATTCCTCTCTAACATCCAGAATGAAGTGAAGTGTATTTCTCATGTAGACTACATCAATAATATATGGTGGTATTCCCTAAGTTCAAAGATACTCTTTATTGTCATACTAAACTGTTCAGATCAACTACTGGCAAAATGTTTTGCCTTTCTTTGTGAGTGGTTAAGGAGATCTCCAAAACTGTGGGAGATGTTTTGCATCTCAGAAATATTGCTACGGTTGCCATTCCCTAGAAAACATTTTTCTGAGCAATTTCTTAGCTTAGCTTTATTGAACTTTATTTTAAAATGCATTATGCAGCTGATCTTTCATATTTTTTTATTGCTGGAAAATTAGTGCCCAGTGGATTAATCTAAATCAGGATCCATGTACACTGAGATGGAGAAGGCCTTTGAGGATTTGATCCAGTTTCTGTAGTGGCAATGCACATCTTTATTTCCAAGTTACGTTACTGTCATTGGATAATCAAGAGAATCATTGCAATTTAAATTGAGTTCTAGAATGCTAGGAGGTGGCTTTTTCAGTCATAAGTATTTCTATCAGGTTCCATTTCAGGTTCCTTGTCATCTCCTACCCATTTACAATGTCTCTAAAGCAACATAGTGCCCTTTTATAGGGTTCTGGAGCTCTTGCAACAATACCAGAAATCTGCTTTTCTTTACCACAAACCTGTGTGAGGAAATTAATATGGGGAAATGGGTTGCAGATTGGATACTGATTTCTTTGTTCCTTTGCTGGTCAACTAGAAAGAGTCCATTCTAACTCTAAGATTTTGGCAAAATCTTCAATGGATACTCATGGCTCTTTGAAAAAATGATGTTAAACTAACAGCAGGGAATTTGCACACTGCTGAAATATGTGAAGAGGGCATATACAATGTAAGACTTTCAGAAATACCTTAGACTCTGAGGTTTTTTGATGATAGCCAAAAACTAACGTTACCGAGGTATAGCACACTATATTCTGTTACAACATTGTAACGAAGAGGGATATTTATATTTATTCATATTTAAGTCCTGTTCTGTGCTGTTTTCAGCTATCCTACTGTCTGAAGGATGGACAGACAGATACAACACTCCTTTGCAGAATTTGATGCCAATATTCTGTTGGGTTGGAGATAATGAATTATGAAAACCTTATGTGTTAGTTGATAAAATATACTTTTATTACAAAATTGGTTTAATTTAAATTTACCGGCTATTGGTCTTTGATTGTGGAATCATTTATGATGTGACAACTGAAAGAGGCAGTTGTTTGCAAGAGGCAGCCAAAAGAATCTATAACATTCTATTTATAGGTCTGAAACACACACACACACACACACACACACACGCACACACACACATGAACTACAGCATGTGTGTATATGTGTATGTGGCACATACAAACATACACAGGGCAACAAATACCAAGAAAATAGATTAACTCTTTTTATTCCTTATGTAAAAGAGGTTAAAATGTTGTGTCTGTCAACAGGATAATTCTCTGTAAATGGAAGAGAATGAAACCAAATCTGCAGCAGGGGGAATTTAACCAGATAAAGGATGAGATGGAAGATGGGTTGTGGAAACAAGGATTCCAGAAAAAAATCCAATGAATCTCACTTTGAAAAGCAGTTGGACAATAGCTCAGAATATTGGCCAGCCCTTCACCTTCTTTTGGTCCTACGATGCAGAAGAGGGTGTGTGTGGCCTATCCCTTCCTTCCCACTGCACACATTTTCACATCTAGAGATATCCTACCTGAATACTGTGTCATGTTCTGGACTCCACAGTTCAAGGAAAGTAGTGACAAATTAAATTTGCAGAAAGGCTAGCAAGATATGAGGGATTTAGAAATAAAGCTTTATGAGGAAATGCTAGAGAATCTGGGCATGTTGACCTACACACAGCTGATGAATGTAGAGTAAAGTAGTCTTCAAATGTCTGAAGAGTTGTCATATAGAGGAGGGAATAGAGTTATTCTCTATTGCTCCAAAGGTCAGGATGAGAACCAATGGATTAGAATGCAAGGAAGTGGGTTCAACCAGACATTAGGAAGAATTTCCTAATTTTATGAACTGTAGGGCCATGAAACAGATAGCCACGTGAGGTGGTAAACTTTTTGCAATAGGGCTAAAGAGGCTCTAGACACAATCAATCAGAGATACTTTGGTGCAGGATTTTCAAACTTTTTCACAGAACTTCACAGAATTTCTTTCTTTCTAAAGAAATTCCTGGAATTTCTAATCAAGGAGCAAAGCTCATGATAGGAAATTCAATGTGTTTGAGTGATGTCTTTCCCTTTTTGCACTTAGTTTGGAATCCCATCAAATTGTTCCAGAGCTTAGGGTTCCATAGAAAACAATTTGTGAAACTTCTTCATTCAACCCCTTGTCACATGCAGACAACAGTGGTGTGCACATACCCTGATTAGTTTCTGGGAAGAAAGTGCACATACACAAACACACACGCAATACTTTATTACACAGAACACATACAAATACTTATGGCCACTGTTGCTAAAGGGTTCAGAGAAAATTCCAGAAACTATCCTCCTGAATTTGTCAAATATTTATCACGGAATAATTTCTGTTGTTCTTGTTTATGCTGCATTTTTTATAATTTGGAATTATAATATCCAGACTAGGTTTTTCTGTCTTTCTAATAGAAGGGCATGGAAAGCACTTGCCTATAAAGTCACCAAGAGTTTAACATGACTGACTGGTTAAAACAAGTAGAAGGGCACCAGCAAACAGCAGAGATCTATTCATTTTTTCTCTCCTAAAAATAAGGATAGCTTTCCTATTTCCTATGATTTGCTGGTGGTCTGCCTCTTGTGTTTGTCAAGTTTGCTAAAACATGAGAATGGACAAAAGACTGTATTGAGTTTCTATCATTCATCTGATAATCAATATTGTGCCCAAATTAGGAAAAATGCTTGTCCTTTGATAAATAGTTTATTAATTTTACTTTCATAGCTTTAGGAAGTTACTTCAAAATATACAGTCTGTTCCAGGTGCCCTGAACAAATTAGAAATCAGGACAAGGAAAATCCTGTTCATTTATATGTCATTCTGTTCATTATCAACACTTCCTTTTTATATGATAGCATTCTAATGAAATAGATGAGCTAAAAAGAAGAGAAAATTATCGCTGGAATTAGACTAAATAAAAGCTAAAATGTTCAGAAATAAAGCTTTCAGAATGTTCATCATTTTCATTTCAAAAATACTTTGAATATGACATTAAATGTAGTAGAATAGTCTTGGCAAAAGCTACATGGCCCTTGAATGTATTGCGTTTAGCATGAAAATAGACAGTATAAGTTTGTACCTTCTAAATAAGCTTTAAAATATTTCTCAGTTTTCAAACTTTCTGCTATATTAAGATTGAAAATTCATAGAATATAAAATATTCCATTAGCATATGAAACTTGAGTGCATTTTCATAGAATTTTATGTAGCAGTTCTATTCTATTGAATTTCTTGTTTCCTATTCTATGACTGTAATCTCAGGGACAGTTTCTATTAACTAGAATAGATAACTCAGTCTTTTGGCCTTTATCCCCTTACCTAATCATTTTAGGGGGGAATAGTCACTTTGTAATGAATGCCATAGTACAATTTGTAACTTTTTGTGGTAGCTTTTACCAACAGTAATCAGAAACGATGCAAAGTTCATGACCTTCTGAAACACCAAATGATGTCATGTTGCATAAAGGAGGGGTCCCCTAGCCCTGGGCCCGCAGCCTGCAGCCCAGTGCTTAGCTGCAGTGCTTTGGAACAGGACTGTGGAAGTGGTGGCCAAGCGTGTGCATGCACCACTTAATTTGTGAAAGCAATGCACCCACACAAAACGTCCCCTCTTCTCCCACCCTGCCATCCTGCCACCATTTTTGCTTGTCTACTGAGTTGGAAAGGTTAGAGACCACTGTCATAGAGCCACTAACATTATTATACAATTTCACTTTTATTAGAAAATCAGATAAAATTATTCTCCCCCATTACAAATAAAGGAAGAATTTCAGAAGGCCATTTACCCACACTTTAAAATAAACTAAATAAGATTATTATTCCTGATAATAATTTTCATTGTCTCTTCTGTCTAAAACAGTTTACTCTATTCTTCCCTGCTTCTTGGCACAATTCAACTAAAGGCACATCAAAGTCATCACTGTTCTCACTTGCAAAGCCCCCTGAAGCAATTTGTAGGCATAACTGTCTTCCCTTCTGCTAATATGAGGCACAAGTACTGCCATGGCGAAGCTGCTTCAATCCTCCAGTGCTTTGCAGGCATTTTCCATCTGGGCTGGAGAGGAAATCTGATTAATCTCTTGTCAATGTCATATTTGTTTATTTGCTGCAAAATCATTAAGCCAGCATTCCCTTTGTAACTAATTTCTGTTAGGAATCAGAAAGAGGGGTAACTGTTTCCTCTCACAAGAAAATAATAAGCTAAATTCTCCAACCCTGTTGACACAATGACAATATGGAGATCCAGAGCAGCTTTCAAACTGGTGCAGCAAATGTGAAATGGAGAGACTAAATTACAGGTAGTCCTTGACTTAAAACAATTGAACCCAGAATTTATGTTGCTAAGTGAGAAATTTGTTAAGTACATTTTGACCCATTTTATGACTTTTCTAGCCACATTTGTTAAGTGAATCACTGCAATTGTTAAATTAGTAACACGGTTGTTAAGTAAATTTGACTTCCCCATTGACTTTGCTTGTCAAAAGCTCACAAAAGATGGTCACATGACCCTGCGACACTGCAACTGTCATAAATGTGAACCAGTTGTCAAGGATTTGAATGTAAGTCATGTGACCATGGAGGTTGCAACAATAAATGTGAAAAATGGTCATAAGTCACTTTTTTCAGTGCCGTTGTAAGTTCGAATAATCACTAAATGAATTGTTATTAGGTTGAGGACTACCTATAATCAGGAAAAACTCTTACACTGAGTGTGTCTTGGGTACAAATATTTGGCTGTTTTGTACTAATTGCTTATAAAGATTCAGCTTATGATGCTCCAAGTAAGAAACATGTTCCATAATAAGCACCTGCTTATTTAGAAAACAAAATAATTTTAGGGAAATGTGTAGAATTAAAGAAACCTTGATATTGCTGGCTTTAAGAATATGATGCTTTATAACTATACCCGTCATTCTAAATCAGGTGCTGGGAACATTCCCCAGCTACCACATAATCCCAGCTTTATTCATTCAGCCCAGTCATAAAGATACGTTGCCCAGACTATTCTTTGAGCTTACTTAATCAGTTTTCTAGGGGAACTTAATATATTAAGGAATATAACATAGTACCCACTGTCCTTGAATTCTCAAGTGTTCCTCTTGCACAACAAAACCTGTCCTTGCTGAAAAATAGTATTCCTAGAATGATGTACCATTAATATAACCTTTGTACAAAATTATTTCCAACACTATTATGTACGAACAAAGTCAGCAGACAATGAAATGATAGGAAAGTAATTCTGTCTTCTGAATTCAAATAGATAATTCTTCTAACAACTTGTAAAGGAAGTCTGGGAGCTGGAACAATGGTTCAGCGGGCAGTGACCAAGATTAGACTTCAAAGAATGTCCATTCTCTGTTTAAATGAAATGAAATAAAATTAACAATAAAGATGAGAAAGTAAAGTTTTAATGGAAATGAAAACTGAAAATTATGTATTCATTTAAAAAAAAAAAAAATCATTTCCCTAAATGTTTTTTTTCTACCTATTAAAACATTTAATTCAATTTTTATAGTTTTGCACACAAAGTATATAATGGTAAATTAATAAAACTGCCATCTGTACCACATAAGAATCAAGAAATGTACAGAAAGTTGTACAGAGAGGGATGAGATGGGGATAAGTGGATTAGATACATTCATAATGCTTTGTAGACATTTTGACCTGTCAGAATGACCAGTTTTCTTAGACAATGTCCTAATGATTGAAATCCATGGTTCCAATAGAAATGTTGAATGTTTGTGGTATATTGTCCTAGCAGAACATGGAATCTTTATATAGCATATATTTTATTTTGAGCATTGGAGCTTTTATAATAGTAATAATAATAAAAAACTGGAAGGATTTTTTTAGAATGTACATGTATATCTATCTATGAAGGGATATCTACTCAGGTGGATTTATTTTTATCAGTGTATCTGAAAACCCATTAGTAATTTAATGGTAATAATCGGCCTCAATTTCCAAGTAACATATAACAATGAAATGCATAAAAATAGAATTCCATACCTTTTGGAAATTAACTCCTTGTGCCCAGGAACAATTCTTTGGGTTTGGGACATCAACCCACAATAATTTCTTTATTCTGAAAAAATGCAGATAATGAATTGATTTGGTTCAAAGGATAAGCAAAAGCAAATTTGGTGCAGTGTCTAACGTGCAGCAGGACCTGGGAGATCCTGGTTCAGGGCTACCCTCAGCTATGAAGACATACTCTTTGGTTTTATAACAGGCATTCTCTCTCAGTTCTTTCTTTCCTATATAAAAAATAAAAGAAGCAGTGCTCAGGTGGTATTCAGCAGGTTCTGACCAGTTCTGGAGAACCGGTAGCGGAAATTTTGAATAGTTTGGAGAACTGGCAAATGACTGCAGATTTTACAGTATTCTTCCCCTGCCACACCCACCAAGCCACGCCCACAGAACTGTTAGTAAAAAAATTTGAATCCCACCACTGAGCGCTATGCATACAGTCTAACAGAACCTAAAATATAAATCTAACAAAATAATGATTAGAAAAAATATTACAACTTTGGGGTTGCTGCAAAAAATTAATACTACAATGCAAACTCTAATAATTGGAAATATGTCATAATTTTACTATATATATAGATTACTATATGTAATATTTTCTTACTGTGAACAGTTTTAGCAAGCCCATCATGAAGGAACACTTTACCTATGCTGCAAAATCAACAATGCTCCAAGGAGCAGCAATGAGCATGAAATCATTAAGGATAGAATCACATAGAAGTTCACATCGTGCTGCTTTTCAATTCCATCTGGAAAAATAATAATTTATTTTTGAAAGTCATTACCATTGCAATCTAAATACACATGAAATATATTACTTCAGTGACATTAAACTGAATGGGTGAAGATTATTCTAGACAGTAGGCCTAACAAAGTTTTCTAAGATCAAAAACGAATATCTTTATAGATATGCTAGAGCAGGGGTGTCAAACTCGATTTCAATGAGAGCCACGTCAGGGCTGTGTTTGACTTCAGGGGTCTGGGGGCCATGACTGGGTGGGTGTGGCCAGCTCGACATTAAGGCTGGTTTTGTCCACGACAGCCTCCTGCAACCCTCTGCCAGCAAAAATGGAGCTTGAGGGGGATGCGCTCAGGGGGACTCCGTTTTCACTGGCAGCGGGCTGCAGGAAGCCATTGCGGCTGAAACGGAGCCTGGGCAGGTTACGTACAGCCTCCCTGGGCTCTGTTTTTGTTGCCAGAGGGCTGCAGGAAGCTGTTGTTGGCAGAGGATTGAAGGAAGAGGCACTGTGGGCCGGTCCTTCACTGTTTCCAGGGCAGCCCCACAGGCCAAATCTAAGCTCCCAGTGGGCCGGATACGGCCCAAGGGTCTTTAGTTTGACATCCCTGCTCTAGATTATATTTTTCAAGTTAGATCCTATGTACAGTACAGGAAAGTTCCATTAAATTCATCAGGCCTCCAGCTTAATTAATGCAGAATAAGATTAAAAGGCTTTAAACTTGGAGTCCTTATTTCCTCAAAGTTAAATCTTGATTGGTTTGAATTAATCAGATTTTTTTAAAAATGTGTTTAAGTAAGTTTGAATATATATTTAAAAATACATTGGCTAAATTAGCCGTGGGTCCCAATTCTCTGTATGACTATTCAAAAAGAAGCAGCATTAACAGGCAGGAAATACTGCTAAAGCATGACAATGACAGTGTAATTTCAAAACAAGTCTTTTTGTGAGTAATGCATACTTAATAGGGCTAGGCATTCAAAGGCACTTCAAAAATATATCTGCAGAAATGAAGAAATGCATCCTAACCCTATATAAAAGTATTAATAATATATAGCATACAAAATTATATTACAAGAACTAAAAACAAGATTTAAGGCAGATATAATCTCCTGCTCTGCTGTTGTAAGTAGCAATCACGTCCCACTATACTTGGCAAAATGATATGTGAAATAAAAACATTTCTGTACTTAAATGTAAACTATTACTATGCTGCTATCTGTTATGAAGGTTTGGTTGTGTCCAGAAATCTTTCTCAAATGTTGTAGTGGATTTTTTTTGTTTTGTTTTGCATTTGCAATATAAATAGTTGAACCAAAAAAAGGAAAGAAACTAAATTATGGTTGAAGCTGTATTTCATGACATAATTATTTAGAATGAAAAGACAATAATAACTTGTACAAACTTACATACCCTTTACACTGCTGAGATGAGTGGCTCTATAAATCAATCAATCAGTCAATCAATCAAACAAGCAAACACTCTTCAGCTTCAAACTAAGCAAATAAGCGTAGAACATGAATAAAAAATAAAAAGCCAAAATGCACGATATAAGAAAAAAAGTTAGTTAAATCTAGTTTCCATCAAAATCAGTCACTGTATTTATTCAATCCATACAATTCCTTGCAATCATTCTTGCTTCTACATTTTCCATATATCACTTCATACATTGCCTTTTGTTCTTTCAACTTAACATCTCCCTTGAGTACAAGTAGTCCTTGACTTACAACCATTCATTTACAGTAGTTACAAATAAATGGTTGTAACTAAATGAATATTGAATGAATATTCAAAGTTACAATGGCACTGGGAAAATTGACTCATTACCGTTTTTCACACTTAGAACCGTTGTAGCATCCTCATCGTCATGTGATCAAAATTCAGACATTTTGCAACTGGTTCATATTTATGAACATGTCCCCAGGTCATGTGATAACCTTTTATGATCTTCTGACATGTCAATGTGGAAGCTAGATCACTTCACAACTGTGGCAAAAAATAATGTAAAATGGGGCAAAACTCACTTAACTGTCTTGCTTAGCAATGGAAATTTTAAGCTCTATTGCGGCTGTAAGTTGAAGACTACCTGTATCATGCAACCATGATTTTTTGGGCCTTCTCTTTCCCATCAATCTTCTTCCATATTTTTGTTCTGTAATTAAATCCTTAATCATATTCTTTATATCACAGACTGCCTCAGTATATTTCTTTTTTACTAATTATTCTTTATTACCTTTTAAAGTTTTAACATACTTCTTACTCTTATATTCAACATCCAGTTTCTTTTTACCTACCAAACTCTCACTTCCACATAAATAGAGTCAAAATATTTTATATATAACTGTTTTATTTTGACAAATAATCACAACTCAAAATAGACGATACATTACATTTATTAGAATTATCATGTTTTAAAATGTTCACCATTTTTCCATCTTTAGACCAGATTCTATCAAGTATACAAACATATCAACCTACTCTATTTTTTCCCATGTATGTATAACTTTCAATTATTGAAAGATACATACAAATATTTTAAAAAAATCAATCAATTATTTGATTTTTCTGTTAAATGCTACTGTTCTCAGATTCCTTGGATTTTGAATAAAACATATCTACTTAGAAAAATATATTTCCAACTATATGAATTGAGACTGGTGAGAGAGAACTGTTTTCTCTGCCAATAAAGAGAACTGTTATATAAACATCCTTCAGCTGCCTCCAAAGGCCTTCATATGACTTGCCAAGAATCCATTAACTGTGAAGGAGGAAAGAAAATTTTTAAAATTTAAACCCTGCAGCACAGATATATATTGAAAATTTCTGATTTCCTTATGCTTAACTGGTTAATCAACTGTTGTGTTTAGGGCTTTATTCCCGTATGCTGTAATTATATGTAAAGAGTATAAACTAGCTAAGTCATTTTTTAGTGTTTTCTGCCAAAGCAGGGACCAAATCAGGAGTTAAGTGACTGGATAGCTATAATTAACTTCCAAGTCCTGAGGTGTAGTGTGAAAACAACCAATATACTTCTAATGTCACAAACATAAACATCCATTTATTGTTGTCCATTTAGTTCCATCATACCTCCCACAAACTTTACATTATATCATGATGGAATGCCTCCTTGGAAGGCATCTCGAGCAAACTCTGCCCAGTCCTTAAACAATCTAGCTATCTAGCATGTAGATTTAACCACCCCAGTAACTGTTCATATATAATTTTATTTTATTCGTAATTTTATTCATCACTTGTACTGTGTGTTTTGAAACTGTTCATTGTTCTGATATTTTATACTTTTTATATTTACACATTTTGTGAGTTTTTATGCATTAATGCTGCATTCTGTTATGCCATACAAAAAATAATACTTCCATCATACAGTGTTCTTAACATATTCAGCAACTGCCAGCTCCATATTCACACAAAACATTTCAGCACTGAAGCCAATTCACTTTCTCATATGGTTCCTCTACATCAGCAAACATAAAAATAAATTATCTCACATTCATACATTTGTCAACGACCTGCTGAAGAGCAAACATCAGATCTGCAGACCCCTCCTGCCCAGTACAAAGGTATACTGTACTTCCCACATTTTGTTCATTGTCATACTATCACTCTTTAAAAATCAGAATTCAGTTAGACACTCTCCTAGGAACATTTAATAGATTAGTACCCCAATAGTTTTTATATAGACTCCAGGTGCCTTGCCTTTTGTATAGGAGAGACATAGTAGAACCTTGCAATCATTATGCACGCATATTAAAGTCTTCACATGTATTAAATAAGTTACACAGCCCTTTGATAAGCAAACAATATCTGTATTTTTACTTACCTTGGTATTGTAACATTACTGTAGTCAATTGTCAATATTTTCACTAAAATTTTCCTTTCATCATTTTTTTTCTTGGATACCACAGGTAATCCTACAATTGAAACTTCAATTTCAATTGTAAGTCGTCACAGTCATAAGTCAAGGAGCCATGTGACCAACTTGATTTTATGACCATTTTACCACCAAACATTTTGATTTGCGATGGTTTTTTCCCTCTGAAAAATGGCAAAAAATAACCATTGCAAATCATGGTCATGTGACCATGGGATATTGCAACCAGTTATAAATGTGAGCTGGTTGCCAAAGTCCCAATTGTGATCACATGACCATGAGGGAGAAAGTGCAACATTCATAACTTCAGGAACAATTCATAAGTAGCTTTTTCCCAGTTCATTGTAACTGACCAGTTATAAGTTGAGGACTACCTGTACATTTATACCATTTTTTTTCATTCCACTTTTGATACCTACTTATTATTCCCATGTAGATCTCTAGAGTTCTTCTAACATTCCCTCACTTTATTTTCATCCCAAAACATTTAATCACTTTTAATTCCATTAGCTCTGCTGGAGACTCCTTTAACAATTTTCACTTCCAAGATAGTTTTTAAATTGCCAACAATTTATTTTTTTAGTTTTTCTCTGTGCCTTTTAAATTTAACCATTACTTGCTCTAGTTGACTATATTCTTCACCACTCTTTTTTTCTATATTATTTCTATCATTCTCAATTTTTTTGCCAGTCATTCTCTTATATAAACTTTTTCTCATCCACAGACTCTTCTTTCACTTTATCATGATACAAAGCATGCTTTTTACACTTTCCATAAATATTGTATAACTGATGGAGCATGAACATCCTTCCAATTACTTTTTTTGTGATCACATTAACATCAATTGCCACAGAAATTCAGTGCAAAGAACTTGGTTGTGGTACTGAAATATAAGGATAATAAATGGAAAAAAGGAATAAAACCTGAGTTATTTTGACATCCATATCATATCTACAAACGACTCAATAATATTAATCATGATATATAAGTGAAGTTTTCATATAGATGAAGTTTTTCAATTTTCGAGTCTTTAAAGAGAGAAGGAATAACTGATGGAGACTTTAGTGTTCAAACATCCGTTGAAAAACAAAATAATATTTGGAAATAACTGAAGAGAAGATGA